ATATATATGTCTGTCTGTATGTATAAATGTATATGTAGCTGCACCGCTCTGCTTGCTTCCGCTTGCTTAAAACAACTCACCAGCCACTGACGATTTGGCTTTGTACTCTTATTTGCACTCCCATCTGGCATGAACTATGTGAAAAGACTTCTTGAAGAAACTTTTTATGAAACCTCAATTTTATGCATGTATATATATTTAGTGTATATGTATACCTATGTAAATGCTGACAAGCATGTACGAGTATATGAGAATGTGTTTTCTATGCAGACATTTATGCCAAGGCTTATAAATAATGTTTTAATGGTTAAAAGCCGTTTGAATTTAATTTCTTTCGTGCAGTGAAAACAAAAATAAAAAAATATAAAAACACGTTTTATTTTAATTTGATTTTGACTTTGACTTTGTTTTCCTTTTTTTCGCTTAGTTTAACAATTTTCTACCTTTCATGAGATTTATTGGTGGAAAAATGTAGATATGTACAAACATATGTACAAATTAAAAAAGTTAACTGCATTTTCCTACCATAGAGCCGTAGGCTACATGACCATGCATACCTACATATCGATGCATGTAAATATCTATGTATGTGTGTAGTGAAATTTTAGCACATATGATATAAAGATCGTAATATATTTGTGTACAGCAGGCTGTGGTCTTTTAGCTTAAATATCTCTCTGCATAATTAGAAATATGTTAAATTCGTAATTTAACGAAATCATAAATACATAACATACATATTAATATATAAATATATAAATTGGCGGTTTGTAAACGCTGAATCGTCTTTTCGCCGAGCACCTACTCCAATTTGTGGTTTTGCGTTTTGATATTTTAAAACAAATGGATGGATTTCCAGTTTATACTGAACCTTTTGCGAACGGATGATGGTTTTTTTCATGAAGAGTATATATAAACATATGTATGTGAGCGTCATTATGAATTTCAATCTCTCCAGGTAAATCCCTTTACATTTTATATTTACTTCACTTTGTATGCATTTTTGCTACTTTTAGCTGGGCCACAGCTCAGCATAGCTCAGCATAAGCAAGCAATTAACTGATTAAGTAGAGAGCATCACTCAGCATGTGAACTGTTAATAAAGCCTGGTAATTTTACGGGTTTTGCAGTAAATTAGCCATGCAAATTAGAATCTAATATCTCATATATATATTCACACACACACACAATACAGAAAGTCATTAGTACGTCTTGTTGATTGGCGATTTTGGAGTTTTTTTCCGTTAGAAATATTTAATTTTTTTTCATTCTTTACATCAAAATGTAATGATTTTTTTTAGCATAAGTATTTTTTCCTCTTCTTTCTCTTTTTAATTAGCAAAGGTACGTACTACGCGTTAGGCGTTTCTTCTCTTAGCCATTCGACGAGGTACTTCTCCGCCTCATTCTTCCAATGTAGAAGAGGAAGCTCTTCTTCTGCTTCCGCCAGCGTGTATGGCATCGATAACATTCAAAGCTGGAAAATTTTCGCCCATACGAACAAGTAAAATAGGTAAGCGTTGCCTCTATCTCTTAATTTGCTAAACTATGAAATTGTGAAAAGGTCCATGCAACGAACACAATGTCTTTCTCATAGCAACTTCTAGTGCCGACTCAACGGATGTCGACAGTGTCCACCATATATCAGGAAGGCAATAATGAGCGGCTTATAAATTTTAGTTTTGTTCGTCGAGAGAAAAATGACTTTTTGCTGTTGACAAGCGCTGTTGTTTTGCTGTTGTTGTTCAATGACAGGAGATATTTCGACTTGTCCTCGCTTACTACCAGACCCATTCGCTTCGCTACCTTAACTAGTCTGTGGAAATCAGAACTCACGGCGCGATTGTTGAGGCCGATAATGTTAATATCATCATCATACGCCAGCAGTTGAAGGACCTTATAGAAGATTGTACCTTCTCTACTTAGTTCCGCTGCTCTTTTTTCTGATGGAGTCTTTGGCGTTGTTGGTCACCTGTTTCCCAGCCAAACAAGTTTTGCAGGGAAACCAAATTTAGACATAGTAGGGTAGAGGGTTGTTCCTATTTGTGCCGTTTGAGGTAGATTTAAAACCAACAAAAAGGTCGTGTATGTGAATTCTTTTATCCCGATCTCTTTCAAGTTTAGGCGAGTACACTGGTATGTCTCGATCAGTTTTTTTTACTATGGATTTCAGCATCTTATAAGCAATATTGAGGAGGTAATTGGTCCATACTTTGGAATCTCTCTTATTCATTATGGATTCAGCAAAGTTTACGCGGGTTTCATCCATCTGGCCTGATATTGAATACAACGCAAAGAAGCGCCGCCGTCTTTGGATATCTCGACGGGTGTTTCAGTGGCACCAGCAGGTTTTCTATGCCAATTCAGTTCGTCCGATTGGGACTTCAGGTTCGTTATCTTTTGGCGTTTTCACTGCAGTTAAGCAGACTGGAGATGTATCTTGTAACCATCACTACGCTTTACCCCTTTCGGTCAGCATTTCAAACTCTTCGTACTTCTACCTTGAACTCCTAGAGTTTTTCGATGCTGTTGTTAACCTGATTTATTTCTCTCTACCACACCAGATCTTCTTTTGATTGGAGCTTGAAATGCCGGTCCACAGTTCCTCTTTACCGGTTTATTGACTAGAGATCTCAGACAACATGTGTGAAAATCTAAAAAAAAAATTGCACTCGCTCTCTGCATTGTTGCTTTTCAACGTTTAATAATCGAAGTAGTTGTTGATGCGCGTTCTTCGCTCTGCTGAGATATGGGTGTGAATGTTGATAGGTTCAAGAAAATTGTCCCAACTGATTTCCGAGCTGACCTGAATATCACAGTATGGTCGATTTGATTTCATGTCTTTCGATCTGGTAGTCATGGATTTTTTTAATGCTGAAATCGGATGTTAAAATTGTATATTGTAATTACTAGAAGAACCCAGTCACACGTTTTTGTGGCAATTAAGCTTAAACAAATAATACTACCACTTCTCGAGTGGTTGCTATTTCGTACTGCCATTCGGAAAGCCAGGTTTTCAGTTCTTTTCCGACAAACATTTAGAAATTATGGAAAATTAATTTATATAAAATTGAATAAAGCGCTAATTAGTTATAAAATCTAGGCAAAATGCTTATCTAAACAAAAAAGGTACGTGAAACTTTATTACTCAATGTAAGCTATTTTTCAATGCTGGTGTTTGAAGCGGGTATTAACTTTCTTATGCCTTTCTCAAAGTAGTTTCGCGCCAACTGCTTCGCCCACTGCTTCACCTCTCTTTTTATCTCCTCGTCGGTGGAAAACCTTTTACTCCACATCTTCAAAGTGGACGGGGGATCAGAGGAATGTGCGACATAATTCAGGACATCCCATTTAAAGGAGTCGAAAAGTCGTTTGTGGTCTGGCATTCTCATGCAGATGGCAGTCTGCTTTTGTTAGCATGCCTCTCATCTTGTTCTCGCGCAACACTGTGGCTCTCCGCAACACAAGTAGTTCTCTGCTCGTTATAGTTCTTAAAAAAGAGAAGCTACAAAATGCCAATTGCATATGCATATATATGTATGTATTGCTTATACATATGTAAACCTCAAACGCTTCGACAGTTCTCAATCGATCTACTGACCTCGTACCAGTCTCGTTGGAAAGGGGAGAAGATTGAGCTTTATGAGGTTATTACCTTAAGAGTAACTTGAAGAATACATAAGCAACTACGAACTAACCTTAAGCATTTTTGCGAATTCAAATTTTCGAATAAAGAAATATTTTGACAATTTTTTCCTTTTTTTTTTTTTCAAATATGAAATGAAATCGATTTGCAGCTGGATTGCTTCTAAATAAAAAAATAGAATAGAAATAGAAAATTTAAATTTATTGATATAAATGTTTGCAAAAAAATTAAATTATATTAGTTTGAGTTGATATTTGAACTAGAATTATTAAAGTACAAAAGACATACAAAACTATTTAGTGCGCTCCATGCTGAGTAGTGCGAAATTCATTGACACGTATGGCGCACGTCTTACTTCATTCAACCCAAGTCAAATTTCTTCACTTGCCAACTAAGTCTTTGGTTTATACATACATACATACATACATACATACATATATACATACATACATACATACATACATACATACTTACACATGTAAAGTGGGTCATTCTGGTGTCATTTGATAATTAACCTTTTTGACACATGAATTAAATGGTTCGTCGACCGTGGAGAGGCTGCAGCAAATAATTGGAATATGAGTGAAGAGTTTGTCGGCAAGTTCAAATGGAATATTGATATGGAACTTTGCACTCTAACAGTTTGAATTTTTCATCTTTTAAACTGCTATCTTAGCACTTGTAAGTCTAATTTATTTCAAACTTTAACTTGTATTTATTTTTTTCCGTCCTTTTTTGCCTTTTGCTTTTTTGCATTTCTCTCCGACCTCTGCTTGCGCCTTTGGCCCAAATACATACAAAACTAATTATTTCACGCAGGAAATCGCAATGTGGCGGCACTTTTGTGGTTCGGTTATTCGCTCTCTCAGCATTTCCCTTGCACACTGTATAGCTTTTTCTAGTAAATTATTTTATTTACACGCTAAAAAGACAAAATTTAGTAAAGAAAAAAATGAAAAAAAAAAAAAATTGTGGAAGAGTTAAACTATTTAAACGTACCGCTACGGTTCAGTGGAGTTCAGTTTAGGTGAAGTTCATGTGAAAGCACACAGCTGCATGCATACATATATATATATATGGTTGCCTTTTTATATTTGAGTATACGTACATATAAGCTTGTATGCATACATACAAACATATGCACAAGCGTATGTATGTGTATCTTTCATTCATGCACTAAAGTGTGCAAACATTTAACTGAAAGAACTTATGAATAGGAAAAGTAAATATAAATATACATACATATATATACATAATACATACATATAAACGAGTATAACTATTTTTTTTTTTATTATTTAATACTGAAAAACTTATTTTCCATTTTCTTCATTCTTTTCACACTTGAACGCAGATACCAACGACAACAATAACAACAACAATAACAACAACAACAGCAGCAGCAACAACATCACAACCCATATGCTTGTTTGCCGTCAACGAAACGCATACGGATCGCAATACACTACAACATTACTTAACATACATATGTTCATATGTAGATACATATGCGCATAGCTACATACGTGTAAAGTGAGGTTTACGTGCATGTCCCAAAAGGCCTCTACGCCTCAAACGTTCGCCCTTTCACTTGATTCTCATTCAGCTGTGGTGTTCAGTGTGAGAACACTTTTGTGTCTGTGTGTGTTTCTACATACATACGTATATGCATGTATATTAAATATATTAATAAACATATACATCATCATAAACAAACAAGGAAATAAACTTTCTTAAGAACCATAAAATCTTACAAGAAAACGCCAAAATAGTCAAAGTAGCATTACCGCTAACTAACAGAAGAAAAAAATATATAAAAAAAACTAAAAGAATTAAATAAATAAACGTCAAGAACAAGCGAAAAGAGCGTATGTACAGACATTAGTACAATAATAATAAAAAAAACCACACACACACACATTAAGAAATATTACTTTGGTGCAATAGAAGCAGCAGCCGTGGCCTTAGTGGCAGTGTGCGCATCTCAACATGGCGTACACAAGACGACAACCTGCCCGAAATGCTTTTACGGTTAAGCGAATCTTGGTGGTAAGTGAATTCTTCAACATACGTACATATGTACATATATGCAGACAACTTTATTGCATGCCATTAAACTTTTAGTTATGTTTTTACACATATACTCGTACATGCATATACATATATATTTTTACATACCCTTCTATATACATATGTATATATGTATATACGAGGTGTGATCAGAAAATAACCACTATTTAAAATTTTTTCAAAAAGTATTTATTTATTCACCAATAACTATCTAATCCCCTTCAAAGCAATCCCCCTCAGATATAGCACAGTTATGCCAGCGTTTTTTCTAAACCTCGAAATACTTCTGAAACGCGTTTTTTTGTATCGCCAATAGCTCCTGTTGCGATTTTTCTTTTATCTGCTTAATGGTAGCAAAACGGTTTCCTTCCATCGGTGTCTTCAGTTTTGGGAAAAGGAAAAAGTTAGTGGCGACCAAGTCCGTTGAATACGGTTTCATGCCTCAACCACCGTATTCACCGGACTTGTTTCGTTTTTGGCCAAAAGAAACTCTTTCCTTAAGGGACCGATGGTTTCGTTGTTTGTATGGCACATAGACCCATCTTGTTGAAAGTAAACGTTGTCCAGATCAATGCTATTCAATTCCGGCCATAAAAAATCATTAATCAATGACTCCGCCGGTCCATAAATCGCCCCAATTAATTACACGTTGAGTATGGATTTTGGAGGTGGAAATGGACCTCATCAGGATGATTATTCGATGAAGTTTTCATAGTTGAATTTGAATAATTTCAATGCATTGTGGAAGCGTCTATCGTTCCATTTCTATTGCAGTGGCAAAAGTGGCATCTATCGAAATAGCATGCAACTCAAAGTAACACTTCTTATTGAAAAATCCAATGAATTGCCGAACCATCGAACACATCCGAAAATTATAATACTATCTAACACATTCAAACGACCAGAAGCCAATCAGTCTGTCCTAACTTGACATACGTTCTTTTGAGCTTCAAAACGACATTAAGTCATTTAAATATTTATTAGAGTTGCCTGTTGTACACACAAACGGACTTTAAGACGGATAGAGAAGCGAATACCTGAATATAACAGTTCCGTACAACATTTAACACAAGAAGCACTTGACACGACGTCGAACCGACAGGATTTGTACGCCATTTGGCGAGAGTTCGTCACGTCGATTTCGGAATCCAAGCACCACCCATTGAAGACCAATAGCTCAAAAAGCTTCGAAAAACTTGTGTAAAAACTTTCATAAATACTGTCTAAATATTGTAGTGAACTCAATTCATACTTATTCAGATATATAGAAGGTATGAGACCTCACACGACATTAACATCCTCTTTCCATGCTCCCTAAAGGCAGCAAGCCAGTCCGGGTCTGATGATAAATCTTTTGTTTCCGTTCTTCTGGCTATCAAATTTAGACATTACGACTTAGAGGCAGCTCCTTTTCACGCTAACGAAGGCTGCTTTAAGATTATAGAGGAGTTTATGTGTGTGGATCCTTTCCTCACGGGTCTATTCTAAGATTTGTCGCTTAGCCAATACCTGCTAACAGGCAAATTTACCAACTCTTAAGGCACACTGTTAAGTTTCAATCAGTTCTTTTATGGTGTTTTTTAATCTTTCGCACACACGGAAGATGGCGCAGATTGTGGGGTTTCTTTTTATGTGGATTTCCAATTCTCAGCCATGTAATCATCTTACTAAATTTTGCACGCGGTACTCCGCCATCAAATTTTCAAACATATCGCTCGATTTGATTAACTGGCTTACTTTCTTCCAAATATGTGTTCCCACCTTGGATCTGAGGGCGTAGTGAAAGATGTGACGTCTCAATCGGCTGAAAGCAGAACACTCGCAAAGGTGATACTCCAGCGTTTCATCATCTTCTATGTGTGCTCTACACTCTCCGGCCTGTGGAGATAATATTACAGGGGCAGATACTCCGTCAATACACCGAGAAGAATATTCACTTCTCGTTTGTCGTTAAAGTTAGTAACAGTTGGGCTGTCGACAATTCACACTGTCCCATAATAATTCCTTCGAATGTCCGATGTTCCTTAATATCCATGGTCCATTGCTTCAGACAACATTTGAAGGCACTAAAAGATGTGAGGCAAGTGATATTCACTGCTTTCCTGCAATAGTCTGTTGTCTCTTTGCATGTCCTTCGCTTTTGGACTTTGTGTTGATGGAATTTTCGGCCCTTGATTGTCTACCAAAAAGTGATAGAACTGTTAAAGCAGTTGCCCGTTTGGCAACTTGTCTAATGCCCATAAGCTCTGTTTGGTACTTGTAGTCGTTGCGCTTGAATAGTTTTATATTTGGTTTAATTTTTAGTTTGTTTGAATTTCTGATTGGCGTTAATTTACAGATATTCTAGTATTTTCAATCATCTTTTCCGTCATTAATTTTGTTATTAATTTTTATTACTATTATTTTCAATTTATATATTCTATATTGTATATAAAATTTTTTCATCTCTCCATTCAGTCTGTGGTTTTGCTTCCTAACGCGCTTTTAACTATGTACATATTTGAACTTCATTAGAGCGTAGCAAATGGATTTGTCCAAAAGTTCACTGCATAAGCGAGCGCTTCTCTTTCACACCGCTTTTTATTTAGCTTTTTCATTCATATTGAGGCCGGCAAAACCCCCCATTCATTCGCAGCAAGTCGACTGCGAAGCTTTTCAAGCAAAAGTTCTCAATACGCAGAATTCTCGGCACACATATAATACATATATATGTATGATATGTAAAGATATTTAGGTAAGCATATATGTATGTAGTACATACTCTTATATGTATACAACAACTTTTATTACCATTCTTTCGCATAAATTTATTGTTTGAAAATCCGTTTAAGCATTAAGTTGAATCTAAATAGTTGACCCCAAAAACTATTGCACAGCAACAAAATACATTCCAAAAGATTGCGAAAAGATTTACTGAGTACTGTAGTATTTTTTCGTTCATATATACTTACATGTGTACATGCATGTATGTATGTGTCAGATGAAGCCGCATTCGCGAAAAATTTAGAAAGTTCTAGTTCGAAAAGTATTATATTTAATTCAAAAATAATAAATAAATTTTATAATTTATAAAGAAAGTGTGAGAAAATTTAAAGGAGTCTTTTTTTTATTTTCATAAATCTGTACTGTTTCCAAAATGAGAAGTGCTATATGTAAATTACAATGAGTAATGATTAATTAAAGAAAAATAATAATAATACCATAATATATATAAGAGTAGTCTTTTTTAATAAATAATAAAATAAAAAATTGTAATTAAAAATATAAAAATTTAAATATAACAAAAAATTAATAAAAGTGCAATTATAAAATTACAAAAATAATAAAAATAGTAAATAAAAATAATATATATTTATGAAAAAACAATAATAACAATGCAATAATAATTGAAAAATTTTTTAATACTACTATTTTGCAGAATAAAAATTAATATGAAATATAAAATAAATAAATTAAAAAAATCGAAAGAGAATATCATAAAATAACAAAAAAAGAAAATAATTTATTTATTTAATACAACAACAAAATTTTCAAAAAAAAAATATAATATATATTTAAGAAAAAATAATGGTAATACAATTTTTAAACAAAAAGTAAATAATAAAAAAATAAAACAAAAAATTTACATAAAGTACAAAAAAATAATAATTAATACAATACTGAAATTGCAAAAAAAAATTTAAAAACATGATTATTATTTAAGAAAAAATAATTATAACATAATTATATATATAAAATATATGTTTTTTTTTTATAAAAAATTATAAGAATCCAAAATAAATAAAATAAATATAAAACAAAATAACAAAAAATAATAATAATGCCATTTATAAAAAATAAAATAATGAAAAATCAAAATAAAATTAAATTAAATTAATAAAATAACAGATAATTGATAATTAAACACTAAATAATAAACATATTTTTTTCCTATAAGAAATAATGAAAAATAATAAAAGAAAAATAAAAGCAATAATAGAAATAAAAGCCTTAAAAAAAAAGAAAAAAATTAAAACAAAATAACAGAAACTAGTAGTTAATGCAATAATAAAAATAGAAAATATTTTTTTAATAAAAAATGATGTAAAATTAAACAAACAAAAAAATTAAAAATAAAAAAAGAAATGAAAAATTAAAATGAAATAAAAAAAATTAATTTCTAATACAATAAGAAATATTTTTTTTTAAAAAAATAATGAAAAATAAAACAAAAAAGGAAAGAAAAATAAAACAAACAAGAAAATGAAAGAATTAAATGAAATAATAAAAAATTACTATCTAATATAATAAGAAATATTTTTTTAATAAAAAACAGCGAAAAATGGAATAATTAAAAAGGAAGAGAGTAATAAAAAATAGTACCAATTAAAAACTAAAATAAAAAAATAAAAATATTTAAATAGAATAACGAAAATTATAAATTATAAATATATATAAAAAAAAAAAATAAAATTAAAGAAAAATAATATACATATGAATATAATATATATATATGTATATTATTTTTCTTTAAAGGTTTTGATGACTTTTACAAATTATAATAAAATTGATTGCTTTAAAAATACACAAAAAAAAAAATAAAAAAAAAACAGAAGCAAAAACTGCTAAATTAATAGTCTAAGCCTTTGCACTTGCTTGGTTAATGTGAAAATAAAATTATTCGCAAATTTCACGCCCTACAATTCACTATAAATACAAACGGATCTCTTCATGAGAAACGGGAGCAGAGTAATTAAATAAGATTAAAGAGTTTCATTGTACTTTTGTGGGTGTTACATTTTTAACGTAGCATAACAAATTGATTTCATGAAAAATTCTCACTTGCCGTAAGTATCCATGGCACATTTGTGCTATTTACTTGGCGTAGCAATTGGATTAATTTGGAAGGTGTTGCGTTTGTGGGTTAAATATCCATACAGCAAATTATAGATAGAACGGTAAATAGTTTTTGAGAATTTCTGCGTAAAGCTTTCAAGACT